AGTGGTTCTCAAAGTGTGGTACGCGGGGCTCCCTCTAGTGGTACGCCAAAGAATGAATGAAAAATTGCCGTTTATAAAATTTCTTTAGCCTGTCGTACCACACCATAGTGCAAATTACATTTTGTACTAAGGTCTGGAGGTGGTCCATTGAGCTCCGTTAACAGGTGGGAGGGTGGGTTAACTCCTTTTGCAGATTGAAATGAATGGATCTGAGTTTACCGTGACGTCTGAGTGAGTCGTTAGCATTTAGCCTAGCCATCTCCTTTTCCGTAAACGGAGCCCGTGGGGAGTAGCACCACAATCTTTGCCAGCAATTACATTTGCTAAACATTCTTCTTGCTCGGGCTTCAATTTCTTGATAGTAAAGTATTCTGGTCTGGTTCTGTCGCATTCTTCGCCATTGCCAAAATACTACCAGCCCGTTCAGTGCAAACTCTTGATGTCAGCCACAACTAACTACAACACCCGCCTCCCGCGATCTCTAATTGGTCGGATAGAATTTAACCGGTTGTCATCGCAAACACAGGGACCAGACCCAGACGTTACATGCAGGGAAATTATGAATGATGAGTGTACGAATGGCTAAGGCCAGGCTAAAATTTCTTTGGCGTTTTTAAAATTTAACCAGGAAAGTCCCATTGAGATTAAGAACCTCTTTTTCAAGGGAGTCCTGGACAAAATGTCATAAAATTACAGATTATAAAACAGTTACATTTCAATGAAGATGTCTCAAGTGCTCTCAATCTGGATCTAAAAGCATTCAATGAAATAAGTTCACATAATTTCCAGTAGCAGGAGCAGGATGTACAAAAGCTTTTTTTCCCAGTTCTGTGCGGCCAAAAGGAGCAGAGAGCAACAAAAGATCATTTGATGGCAAACCATATGAACCAACATGTCTTTGTGTAAGTAAATGGCAGATTTAAGAGGGCATCAGACCAAGCATAGCCTTTAAACAAAACTGCACCAGTGTCCAAATCTTCATGTCGACAAAGAAGGCCATCCCACTCCAGAATATCATTCACAGTGGTGAGTCAAGGCTTTGCAGTTTGTAATAAATTTAACATTTTTATTGAGTCATTATTTAAGAACAGTTTTTAGGTTTTTTCCCCTATATTTAAGCGCAGTCTTACTGTTGAAACTGTAAAATGTTACAATGGCTAACAACATTAAATATACAGTACTTCTTTAGGAATGAAACCTCTGCCTTCTTTTTGATGAATACTTAAGCTGCGTTCAGACCGGATAATGCGTTGCGTCGACTTTCAATGCAAAGTCAATGGTGACGTGCGTTTGAGTGTCGAACAGCATGTGGGTCTCGGGATGCACGCACGGACTGCACGGCAAAGGCACGGCAGAGGCGCAGGAGCGGAAAATCAACGCACGCAGTAGATAAATATTGCTGAGCGTTTCCTCGGGCCGCTCGTGCAGTGACCAATCAGAGAGGTGGTCACGGGGACATTAGCGGTCTGAGCGAGCAGACTGAACATACTCGTAAACAGCCAAAACAAGAGCTACACCAAGACTAAACCAGGGTTGACAATGGGGGACTCTGTGCTTGTGAACATATGCGTTTTCATGCTCCCGTGACTTTATGTAACTGCTTTGTGCTTGTTCGCCGATGCGGAAGTACCGTTTAATAATAAAAAAAACTTATGGTGCACCTTTGTAAACACATAAAGTCTCTGGAAGGTCTCTGGACACAGAGACGCTGCAGGGCTGCATTATAGGAGGAGAACTTCAGACAAAAAGCCGCTAGCTTAACTACATTAGCATCAAAGTCCGCCCGCTACTTACGCTACTTCCGGCGGGCGCCACCGCAGGCCAGGACTTCTGGTCTGAAAACCCCTGCGTCTGAAAATTAGAGAATGTGCGTCTGGTGCGCGAGGCATCAGCGTTCCAGCGTTGGCGGTGTGTGTTTACATCTGTACATTAGCAGCAGTATGTTTACATCTGTACATGTTAGCAGCAGTCTGTTTACATCTATACATTAGCAGCAGTATGTTTACATTTGTACATTAGCAGCATGAGGCTGAGACAAAGTGACTCAGTAAAGTGACAGTGACATGTGGTTAAAGCACATTCTGATATAAGTTAAGGATATTGGAATGATGGATGACACATGGGATCAAGTTGGCAGTGTTCATTAGTCATTATTGTTTGTTGTACAGTCTGACAGCAGCAGGAAGGAAAGACCTGAGGAACCTCTCCTTCACACATCGAGGATGAATAAGTCTCTCACTGAAGCTGCTCTCCAGAGCAGACAGAGTGTCCAGTGGGTGACAGTCATGGTCCAGCATAATATTAGTTTGTCTAGGACCCTCCTGTCGCCCACCTGCTGCACTGCGTCCAGGGAACAGCTCGGGACTGTGCTGGACTTCCTGATGACCTTGTCCAGTTTCTTCCTGATCGTACAAGATGGCTGATGCCACCACAGAGCACTCCAAAAGACCTGAGCCTTAAAAAAAACGCTTTGTGACTCTGGTCTGTGAAAGGCGGTATATAAATAAATAATACTTACTTACTTACTTACTTAAAGAAGCTATACCCGATTTTTTTTCTAAGTAGTTCATAAAAATGCTTTTTACTACATACCAGTTGTATCATAATACATCATGTAATTGAAAACTTGAGGTAATTGATTCAGCTGTGTATGAATTACAAGCAGTGAAAAGTGCTGAGTAGAGTCTGAGCGGGCCGCTCGTTCTCCTCCGCTCACAGAACGAGCAGTGAACAGCCTGCGTCCTCTAGCCTCCACAGCGCTGCTCAACACCAGGGCTTCGACTTCAAAATTCGAATATAATTATAAAATAAAAAATATATACATATTTGAACAAATATTAGACAGCCCTTATAATTTGAAATATATTTAATGACTGCAAATAAAATAGTTAGCTCCCAAAGGTTTCACCGGGACGTGCTAGGCAGGTAACAGCTAAGCTAGCTAGTTGTTTCATGGTAACTTCCGGGTTTTTCGCAATCGCTTTTTGTCACATTAAAACAGTATTTTTGTCATGAAAACGTTAAAAGCAAATTCTGAAATCGTCCGTGAATGTGTGTTAAGGATGTATATGTATACTGTATTGTCCGATTGATGTTTAATGGTGTTGATTGATAGATATGTATTTGTTTATTGAGCGTGGCTAGCTCCGCTAGCTTCTCTACACAGACAAGTGTGTAGTGACAAGCGCTGATAGCTTGTTGTACTTGCAGAGTAATGGCAGTATTTTACACACCTGAATTACAAACAGAGATTGCATTGGGGCTTCGGTCATTATTGGTTTGAGACTTCTGTTATCAAGAAAAAATGATTGGAAGAATTGCATTCAAGTCAGTGCCCAGGTAGCAAAGTTTCTCTGGCCCACCATCGGGCCATTACCTCACCCACGAATCGGCCCACAGTTGGCTGGGCCGGCGGCCCGTCATCGGTTGAATCAATATTTGCGACTCCCCCTGAATAAACCGGCCCAGTATCGGCTGAACTACAGTAACGTGACTCTCATTAAAGATGACGGCCCAGTATCGGCTGAACTACAGTAACGTGACTCTCATTAAAGATGACGGCCCAGTATCGGCTGAACTACAGTAACGTGACTCTCATTAAAGATGACGGCCCAGTATCGGCTGAACTACAGTAACGTGACTCTCATTAAAGATGACGGCCCAGTATCGGCTGAACTACAGCATAATGGCTTTATTTATATGTCGGCTGAGAATCGGCTGGGCTGTCGGGCGAGTACTGGTAAATAACCTAAACACGCATGTTAGACTTTAAAAAAGGCGCTGAAAACACTGTTTCAAAAACATTTATTTAAATCCCAACAATTGAACAATGTTGCAATAATTAAGGTTAAGGAACATGTACATAGCGTGACCAGATGTCCCGCATTATGCGGGACTGCACAGCATTTCCAACTCAAATCCCGCATCACGCAAATTGGAGCGGTGTCCCGCATTCAACTCAGCTGCTGCACAAACTTAATTTTCCTCTTCAGACGCGGATCGGCGGATCCTCCGCGTCTGTGTCATTTTGTCCCCTCTCGCACTCGTCTCCCCGGCAGACTGTGACAGCCAATAGCGCCGCGTTTTGACGTGTTAGGTTGTCTCTGATTGGATATTCTACTCTAAAGCCCGCCTCTCACTCGCTGCAGACCACAGCAGCAGATTCCAATGAGAACTCCGCGAGGGATCAAGACCTGACTATGATGGGGGAAAACTTTCTTTCTCCTTGTTTTACAAATATAATGGAGTTATTGAACTGATGGCTGATGAATGTCTGCTTAGTTTAAGGGCCATTATCAAATTATGGGAAATAACCTGTCCCTGCACTTCCCACCCCTGAAAATGACATATTTTAAAAAAATCAACAATGCAGTGAAACTAAAAAAATATTAAATGAAGCGCCACATGATGAGAGACAGGTAATATCAGATCATATTTTTGCAGTTTTTACTTTTGATTCCACTTTGAATATCCAGAGTATGTTGAAACCCCAGTGTCACCAACCCCATATTCACACCTTTGTGCAGTTAAAAAGTACATTTCCACTATATCTATAAATATTGTTCTTGCCGATTCCAAACAAATAGAGAATAGACTTCAATAATCTGCGGATTATTATATATATTATAGTGCCACCTTGATTGATAACATTTTCTCAAATTAAATAGAAAGAGATACAGACGGATTAATGATAAATGATATTAGTGATCACCTTCCACTTTTTGTATTGTATAAAAAGGGATATTTAAAAAATGAAGAGGAAAACAAGTATTAGTTTAGAAGCATTTACAAAGGAGCTATTAGAGCTATATAGAGAGAATTACACAAATAAATAAATAAATAATGAGTTTGCGCAAAAATTTATATAAAAATATAAAAAAAGTATAAAAATTTGCCCAATGAAAAAATACTGTAACGTAGGGGTCTAAAACATATTTTAGATAGATAGAACTATTTACATTATTTACATTAATATTGTAACAAAAAACTTATTCACAAACTCAAAAAATTTGTACAGCCTCCTTAGCAAGCAGCCTTCTCTTTCTACCCCCCTCCCTGTCTGCACTCAGTTGGAGCCATCTTTTAATCTTGTCCTCCACCTCTGCCTCGGTTGTAAACCCTATAATCGGGTTTTTACGCACAGCACCTTGAAAGGAAAAAACAAACAAACAAACAAAAAAACATTTAGGATGAATTACTGTTTTACTATTTAAAATCCGATTTAAAAACAAAACAAAAAACTATCACAAATCAAAAACTCTCAGTAGGAAAGTTAAAAAAAAACTATCACCACAAGTGACAATTAAACTTACCGACGACAACCTTGCGCAAATGCAGGGTGGCCAGGGCAGTCTTGCCGTTGACCCCCCTCCAATTCATTTTCTGGGCCAGTGAATGGCTCAGAATTTTTTTTAATATGCGGGAAGTCGGCGCCCCCGATTGTCCCTAGGTTGTTAGTCTGCAAAAAAAGTAAAATAGTAAATTGCTAAATTCAGGTGAATTTGAAGGCTATCATAAATTTAACCGAAAATATGCTTTCATGCAGTGAGTATTTCAAAACATCCAAAATCTATCAAATAAATGCAGATAGACAAGCAAACTTCCAATGAGACCAGAGTCAATTATGTATGTTTTAGACAAAGAGGGATGAAATAGTATGACTGTCCCATGGTCGGCCACTCCTATTTTTGTGCTTCATTTTGCGCTTAATATTACCAAATAAATAAAAAGCTCACCAGTGAACAGCGGAACTCTGGTGAGCCAAGCTTGTCCTCCATTGCCAACAGCTGCGGGAGGTCTGCAAGTGGCAGGTCAATGGCTTCCTCCAAGCCTGGAGGAGTAGCCTGGTGCTGGAGTATTCTGAGAATGGTGTCGTTTTGCTGCAGCACCATTTCTAATTTAGTTAGGACCTCCTTTAAAATTACTGTAAAAGTAAGTTTGGAACAAAGTTCATTAATATAAAAATCAAATAAACAAAACTGATTAGTAGTAGTCTGTTCAGTGTGGTAACAAAGCGTACCAGAGTGGCTTCCATGAGAGCTTTCTGCAAATACAGAGTTTTATTACATAATATATATATATATATATATATATAAAGTATTCCCGGGCCTTGTGGGCCTTTCTGTGTGGAGTTTTGTTTCTCTCCTTCAAACGCATTTGGGGACTTGTGTCAAGCCAGGCTAATGGTCAGAAACACCTGGCTGGAGGATTCACCTTTTGTACATGTTTTTAGTGGTGGGGTACCCGGAGGAAACCTATGCAGACATGCAAACTCGACAGAAAGGACCCGTTCAGGTGGGAATCAAATAGGTGGTTGATCTATAGGGTTAGGTGAATCTTACCTGGTTCTGGTTGTGGAGCTTGTGGAGACCAGTGGTAATGCTGGTATCCTGGCAGTGCTAAATTGTTTTTTACAGAGTTTGCATTTATTTATTTAATATACCTGAGAACTTAACATGATAGTGAGAGAAGCTGTACACACCTGCCGTGAGCTCCGTGTATGTTGGGGGGAGGGGTGGTGATTGACTGGGGGCGGGTGGGTCAAAATTAACAAAGGGAGGAGGGGGGCATGCATTAAAATGAACGGCTTGGGCCGCAGGGATGGAGGACATCGGCGCTTCATCCTCTGAAGATGATAGAAAACGATGGTTTTTCCTGAGAAAAAAATCAGTATGTTTATGCAATAGGTTGTGTTAATTTGGCCAACATTCAGTGTGTAATTGAGATGGAGGGTACGAATTCCCTGGTAGTCAAAATGCTGAGGTTTCAAAAATTCTAATTTTAGGTGACTAACATGTTCACACGGAACAAAAAACTGGTACACAGTTCAATGTCTTGTGTCTCCATCTGGACACATGACACAAGAGCACAAAATGTGTCCAAATAGTGCAATAATCAATATGAACTGTTTTTGGACTTGAGCAAATAGATAGATTTCACAGATTCATTATTTGTAAATTTTCTGAAGTTTATTTCTAAATTGTTTCCGTCCCAGAGTCACATTGATCCCCTCCTCCATCAGAATTCAAATTCAAGAAAGTGAAGAGTTTAATTTGATATTTACATTGCTTTGCGACGACGTTTTTTGTTCTTTTCGGTCTCCACATCTGACTGGAGGTCGGATGGTATTTCGGCTTCCCTCAATTTCCTCCGGCCCTCTTCATAGTTCTCTTTTTACAAAAAATAAATAAAAAATATAAGCAGTTTTGCAGTCAACAGGCTAGAGATGTAAAACTCACTTGGAGAAAGTAGGAAAGCAAACTCCTAACATGAGAAGGAGTGCTAATAAGTCTACAATATAAATGTAATCTTCGGTGATACGTAACAATGGGCATTTAAAATTAAAAAGATGGTCTTTGGTCAGTGATGGTCTGTAAAGGGTGTAGTGTATTTGATCCTATCTTCATATCATCCTGACCTCTAGCAAATCTGTCCTCTGAGGAAATGTCTAAAGCTAAATATTTTCCACCCACTGCATACTACTGCATTAACTTATTTGGCTTCCACAGGCAAAGAGGAATTACTTTTTGAAGTATTATTCCAACAAAACTAATACCACCCAAACATTTACATGTAAACATTCACAGGACAGGGAGGAATAAGTAAGTACACTGCTTGAATCTCTCTGAACTGCAGCAGTTTTGTAAAGAGGAGATTCATCCTAATCGTTGTGAGCGTCTAATCTGCAACTACAGGAAAGCACTTATTGCTGAAAAAGAAGGATCAGCAGCTATTTAATACAAGGGTTCACTAAAATATTCCATGCTGTTGTGAATGTTTCAGGTCTTTCTGCAAAATATCTTGATAAACCTATTCATTATTTTTTCTATTGATGATAGCATGTTGTCCAGGCCCTGAGGAAACAAACAGCTCCTATACACGTGGCTATAAACTCACCACCAAGGGGTATAAACTTGTGTCACAGTGCCTGATGTTTGTTTATCTATCTGACAGTGACTATAATTGACCATGAACAGTGAAAAAAGGATGATGAATGTACCAGTTGTATATAGTACTCGCACGCGGTACTGCTCCCACGTTGGCTCCACAGGGGTCGCAGTACGAACTGCAAGGCTTAGTGCCGTGCCCCTCAAACCCGAGGGCCACGCACAATGACCATTGGTGACCCATACTGATGGCACCAACTCCACCTCCTTCGCCTCCAGAAATTCCACAATGGAATACATTTCTGCCCAAAAGAAAATACAATGGGTCAAACACTCGAAAAATAACAAACTGTACATTCTATTTTATTTTATATAAAGCTATAGCTTTTATGATAGTACAAATCCCGGCCTACACTGTGTGAAGTGCTTTTGGAAGACCATGAAAAGCAATACAAATAAGCATCCATATTGTTAACCCTAACCCTAAAGTAAGAAAAACTGTAGCAGCAGCACTGATCTTATCTGAGTAAATTCACGTGTGCTGATGAGGACTGATAAAGATATGGTGAGGACAGGCCAGTGTGATCGAAGACATGTGATCACACAGTTACAAACCATTGTTTTGTTGTCTGACTGTATATATTTTTGCTTGAATTACAATTTGCATTGAAAATAGTGGGTAATATTGCCAAAACAATGAATATATCTATTTTATTTTTCAATATCGATATTACAATTTTTGCTCAGACATTGCAAAGAAGGTGTTGTTGGCCCGCGTCCTCAATGTATTTTCAATGTAAACCTGACGCTTTGGAGGCGTCGGAGGCGCCCGGTGTGAACACAGCATTACGCATGTAGTGTTAGAGCTCTCACTAGTGGATTGTAGGTGGTACTGCAGGTCATGTTTATACATCTGTTTGTAACCATACTGTAGCCTGCCTACATGTTTATTAATATACATTTTATTGTTTTTCTGTTTCAGATAACCACACACGCACCCGCACACACATACTTATACATTTACACACACACTGTGTCAAACCATCATCATCTCCATGTACCTGATCCATCCTCTTCAATAAATAATCTAAACTGCACCATCGAGAGGAAGACTCAGTTGACGAGCAATCCAAAACAGCATCAGCCGCACACGGTCTCTTACTGTACTGGATACAACCATTTAACTCCCCCAAAATGTATGCACTGCATTGTGACTGTACTTACTGGATGTTGATGCAAATCTCAAGGCAGATTGTTTTTAACTGGAGGTACACACATGGATTCAATTTTATTATATATTTTGATTATACACACCAACAGGAATTATCTTCTTGATTTATCTTGAACTATTTACAGAAAGCTTAAGAGGCCAAACAATCCCCGACCCGAGGGGCCCAGTCGGTTTTATGGCGCCGACCACTCGCCAGTCACAGAGGAAGTACCAACAGCTTATTGTGCGCACTTTTTAGGGGCTAGCCGGATCGATCAAACCCCACGCACAGCCTCACCACTCTGCCGGATGCAGTTTAATGTCAATACCCAGGACGAGAGAAAGAAAAAATATGGCCTCTGAACCAACTAAAAAAGAAGTTCACAGAAAATGCAACAACGGAATTGCAACAAAGTTTTTGTTGGAAGGTAGTCTGACATATTTCTGAATGTGTCCTTGTGTAGGGTAATAATATGCAGGGTAGCTTAAATTTAGTAGTGTAGAGCGGCTAGTCTCCGGATCAGAAACTCGCTGTTCCACCAATCCGTGGATGTACAGGCCCAAGATGGTGGCGGGCGTAGGCCGTGTAGGGGACACGTACCAAACAGGATGGTTGCGATAGTGATTTCGGGGAAGAACCAAGAGGACAGCAAGCCTAATACTGCTGCTACCACTGGCGCCACTGCTAACCCTACGTGCGCCAACGCCACTAACCCCAACGCTCTTCGCTGACACACAGGTGAAGAAGTACTAACGCCCGGCCCCTGTCCTAGGCCGCCTACTCGCATACACCGCCACACGGAAAGGACGCTGTAGTCACGGCTTTGACACACACCGGGGTGTGCACCACCACACAAACAACAGCTGTACTACCCTCTCTATAGCACTGCTCTCCTCCTTTCCTCCTCCCACCGTGTCTTGCACACACGCCCCACGTCATACTCGCATACACTCACCCACACAAATATGGAAATCGATGGCGGAAACTCGCCACGACCAAGCAAGCACGACGGTGTCTCGGGAGGACACGACATAGTGGATAACTTTCTGCGCGACTTCACAGAGAAGTCAGAAGGCTACGACACGCTTGAGCACAGCTCACTCTCTGACTTACAAGATGCCACCTCCATATTGGCATCCGAGGCTACGACGAAACTCCAAGGTAAGACCCTAACCCAGTGGCTAGGACGACTAGCCATAATCTCCAGGATAACCTTGCGCGACTCCGAAGCCCAGAAAGCAAGGCTCCAAAACACAGTGAGTGACCTGGAACGACAACTGGCGGAAACTAGGAAATCCGCCGCGACCCGCTTGGACCACATCCAACAGGTAAGTAGGGACCACCAACAGGGACTGAGAATGACTCCATGCGCGACCATGGATCTTGATCGCGCAGCGGAAATCAGGACCGCTATTTCGAACGGAACCGGCCGTGACAGTACCTCCGGGCCACACTCCCCTCGCTCCGACCACGGCGAACCATCGTCCAACTGTGAACGCAGGAGCGTGGCCGAACTGGTAAGTATCATGACGGGAAAGGACCAAAATCAAGGTCAAAAGAACAATACACAACCCAACATTAGACACGTCTACCACTGCGACCCCCACGACGCCCCTCCGGGAACACACATGGACATGCGACACAGACAACATGACTATCCGACCCATGACCCTGGCCCACCTGACGTCCATACGAGACATGCTTCAGACTGCAGCCATTGGGACGAAAGGGCCCGCCCTGAACATAGCGGACAAACTTACAACGACCCCCCTGGCCCACATCAGAACATGCTACATGGACCACACGACTTACGGTGCCCCAAGTCTGGGCCGTCCGCATATGCTGCAACACAATGGCCAGTGACCCACGATGGGAACGCCGGGGACCTCCCCAATCATGGAGGACAACCCCGCGGCACCCCCCCTGACGCACGCCAGGACTTAACCCTAGGCCAACGGTACTACCCGGACTGCGGGGGGACGGCCCCCGACCTCCACAGGTCGGACTTAGCCTCCCTCCGACACGATAACCCCACACTAGAACGCCCCTTCGACGTCATGATCGGCACGACGCTCGGAACCTCCGGCCGTGATAAAGACATACTGCCGATACGCCATGGGCTGTTAGATTCTGCTTCCGATACACTCACTTCGTCGGTGCTCGTGGTGCCTCGAAGCTTGAGGGGGGTAATGTTGGCACACGCCCATGACGCACCTACCGCGGAACAAACAGGTATAAACAACACACGTCAGGCACTACAACAGGTAGAAACGACGGACCGGACGGTGACCGAAACACCAAGGTACGTATCCCCAAACCGGAGTGACGAGAACGTGAAACTCCCCCGGCTCCTGAGGACAAACCAATACAGGACCGACCCGCAGGACCACCTCCAGGTCAAAAACCAGGTATGGTATTACACCTTGGCACATTCCCCAGGACACGTGGGAACCGGCCCCACCAGACCACACCGGAAATCGCTACCCCGCTGGTCAAGACCATACAGGGTGGGAA